GATGATTTTCAACTTCACTCTGAAATTCTTTGAACTTTTCAAATGTTTCAGACTTGTGTTTCATTAAGTAGATATACCCATATCTGCTTAAGTCATCTGTGAAGGTGAGAAAATAACGATATCCGCCACGAGCCTCAATATTCATCGGACCACATACATCTGTATGTACGATTTCCAACAAATCTGTTGCTCTCTCCATAGTACCGGAGAACGGTGTTTTAGTCATCTTGCCCATGAGGCACGGTTCGCAAGTACCAAGTGATTCATAATCAAGTGGTTCCAAAAGTCCATCAGTATGGAGTTTCTTCATGCGCTTTACACCGATATGACCTAAACGGCAGTGCCACAAATAAGTTGCACTATCATTATCAACTCTGCATCTTTTGGCTTCAACATTATGAATATGTGTATCACTACTATCGAGATTCAATGAACCATACTACATCATCTGCGGCAACCACCAGCTTCACTGCATCTCCTTTGCCAAACACGCTTCATTGCACCGCCAGAGCGTGTCCACCGCACACCCTCGTCGTTGGGAAGGGAGGATTGGAGGAACAGCGAGATCGACAACAAGAACATGCTTCCGTGGGGCATCTTCGTTGCTGGGAAGGGAGAGGTTGAGCATCCTGGAGGCGCGCCAAGGAGCAGCTGTTGTCCCCATTGGCAGACTGTGAAGCGGAGACAATGCTCCAATGCTGAGGCATAGCGAGGAAACAATCCTGCAAAGGAGGAGAGACTACAGAGGCCCTATGCGCACGTCGAGGAGGATGGCTGACTGAGTCATGCCGAACGCCGCCACCGCCACAGGGAAAGTAAAGGTGAGGAGACGCCCTGCACCTCAACACGGGCTTGGGCAAAGATAAGAGAAACCAACCGCGAGGCATCCCATACGCACTTTCCCAGCCCAATTCGACCCGATAAATGACATGAAGCCCAGGTAACTCTGCGGAGCAGCTACCCAAGAGACGAATGTAGATGACCAGACGATGCGCGATAGATGAAATCGAATGGCCAACGAATCAAAGCGTTGTGGTGGCCCGTAGCTCGCCCCATTATACTGTTTCTTAATATTTAGAACACATCAATCCAGATTTGACATATTAATGCTAGGGGATCCAAACTGAGTATCAACTTTTCTTTGTGCATTCGCTGGACACTAATCTTTTGGATATCCATGATCAAGATATGTTGCATTAATGAAATGATGGAAGTTAGATGTGTAGTATAAACATCATTAATAATGGAGATCCAAATTGATTATAAACATATTTGTCCATAGATTGGACATTAATCATATGCATATCCATGAAAAACTTGCACACTTCATTTATGAAACCCAACTATATGCATTATAAATAAATCTCAACCTCCCATACATCATATCCATCCAACTCCCCCACACCCCCACGCAGATATTTGTGCACGGATTAGATATCATTAATAAAGGAGATCAAAATGAGCCCTCAAATATTTGTGCACAGATTAGACAATAATCATAGGCATATCCATGACCAAGTTGCATACTGCATTTATGAACCCCACTATATGCATTATAAATAAATCTCAACCTCCCATACATCATGTCCAACCAATTTTCCCCTACACATCCATCCATATCCATTTATCCCCACCTCTCTAGGTTTTAGTATAGTACAAGGCTTGTAACAAGCTTTGCAATAATATATGGCTCCAACACCGATGGCCACCATTGTCTTCTCCGCCATTATCTTCATGCTGCTTTTCGTGACCACGATGGCTCAAGCCGGTGGATCTGGTGGCGGCAAGCCCAGGGCGACCAACCTCGTGGTAGAAGTGTGCAAGACCGCCACATTCAAGTACCCATATGGAGGTCATGACATAGAGGAATTCTGTTTAACGACCCTCCAGTCGGACAAGCGAAGCACTGAGGCTAAGGACCTCCGTGACCTGCAGCTAGTCACCGTCGACATCCTTAGGGGTCGAGTCACTACTACCAGCGGCAAGGTCAAGAAAATGTTGGAAAACATCAAGAAGGGCACTCTGCCAATGCGCGTCCTCAGTTTGTGTGAGGTGGATTATGACACCGTGGTGAGCGTCATCAACAAATATGATGCCATGATCAGGGATTACCAAGGCGACGAGGGCGGGCTACGGTCTATACAGCTAGTCCGTTGGATGGGTATTGCACGTGACCATGTCGACGAGTGCAACTCCGAGCTTGTTGACATGCCTTCGGCGGGGGCTCTTGTCAATGAAAACAATGAATTGGGCATGCTGGTTAAACTGAACACCGCCTTGGTAGCACCATAGGTTTCTCGAGTAATATAATGTTTATGTTTATCTAGGAGAAAATATGTCGATGAGAAATTAGTTGTAATCTTAATAGTTATTATAATAAATATAATAATAAATGTGTTGTGGCATCAATTGTACTACTCCCTCCGTCCAAAAATAAGGGACTATGATTTTGTCTTTTGATATACTAGCAAAGTGGCCCGCTCTGCACGCGGGCTAGTATTTATTATAGTTTGGTTGCAATAAGTTCATATTTACCAGTTTTTTGGGCTGGTCGTGAAGTGGTGATGTTAAGGATGTAAGTGTTACCCCTTTATTGTTTCGGGGAAATATCTGGTGGCTATGTTATTGCTGATCTATTTTAGTGGTATGTGCACGAATCCACGGGTTTGCCTAATGCGGCTGCAGTGATGGGTACATGGTGTGTGCCTGGCTTGACAATCCCGTTGTGGCGTATTAAAGTTTCCTATTTTTACTATTTAATATTTTCCTAATGCCTTTAGAATATTTATTTATATACTATTATCCTTTGTCCATCCCTTAATTGGAATCTTGATGCAACGTATAGTCCTCCGTGTGCAAACACATGTTTAGGCAGAGATAGGTCTAATTTTTTAATCTGCAGGCCTCACCTCCACTTATTTATTTTTAGTCACTATATGATTGAACTAATATATTAATTAAGGTAGTTTTCCATTGAATAACCATCCAGTTTATGTTTTTGTACCGCCCTGTATGCTGGCTGCTGTTGATGCCCACTCGATTGACTTATGGCCAAGTTACAAAATGATGATAGTAAGTTATGAAGGTCAAATACAAAGGCGTAGTGTAAAGTTTTTGTATGCTCCCTCCATTTTTTCTGGTCATGTGACCGGCATTGGCAGTGTTAGCCTCCCTTACACCTATTAATTTTCAACAAACTCCCAAAGACATATTATGATTTAATAACCGATAAGAAAACATGTTTGATTGCATTCTACATATAAAATTTAAAAATGTCCAAATGTTCTCACTATTGGTTGCAGCATAAAAAAAAGCTTGAGGATTCAGATATCACATAATCTAGATTTGTGAAAGTTTGAAACCAATGAACTATTTCCACCAATGGTTACTTTGAGAGTTGTATAATAAGACCGACAGTGCTGGTGTAGATACCCATTGTGACGACAGCTACATGAGGTCGAGCACATAGGGGAGTAGTAACATTTTTGTACGTGAGATGTAGTAGTTTATTTGTTTTTTGTTTTGTTTTGAGGGACTGTGATCTAGAACATGAGATGTGGTAGTTTTTTTCCTTTTTTAGGACGTGAGATCTAGCAGTTTATTCTTTTAGTTGTTTTATAAAAGGACTTGGCGATACATATAAGGTAGATCCACCAGGTTTACATGTAGTAACGCCGAGAACTTCTAGTTTTTTGTTTTATTTAATTTATTTATAGGCACATGTTGAGATACACAAGGTGTGTGCGTACCCTTTTTTTAACAACACGTACATGGCTAAGGTTTATTTAAAGGGACATGTAGAAAGATATAAGGATAGCTCTTTTTTTAGATGGAGTGCACTTAGATCTAATCCATTAATTACATATTTTAAGTCTTGGGTCCGCCAAATCAATGGTCAGATGTTTCTAATTATTGTGGTAATGTGGTAATTTCTAGCTTATGTTTCTTTTTTCTGATTAACCCGTCAAGCACTTTTTATATATACTAGCAAACTTGCTCGTGCGTTGCAACAGGAGAAACAAATTTTCGCACAGCTCTAGTGAACCTTCCGTGTTTCCATTTTCTCTCTCTGTACCGTCATCGATGGTGGTGACTTGTCCACCTTTTTATGACTAGTAATCGTGCACGTGCAATGCACGTGTAACCTTAAAGAATTTGAGTCGTTCATCTTGACGGTCATTTGTATCGAAAACACCATGCCTTAAATACTTTAAATTTTCATTCTCCACCCCCACCCTCCCCTCTCATGTCTCTCCAAGCATATTTTCATCCATTTTATTATCAAAGAGACAATTAAAGAAAAAATATGTACAAACTAATATTTTCAGGATGATGCAATCGAGTTAAGCAGAGATAAGGTAAAATAAGATAAAGCATAAGTATTGACCATTTGCAACATAGATCATCAAAAGGCCACTGAATTGAAGTTTGTCTAGTTATCCATATTCAAAATGACCTGCGTAGCGCTGGTGGTAATTGTGTTGTTTGTCCGTTTATGTTGGGTGAGATCGGAGAGAACTATACATCAGTGTGGGGGATAGACGGTGCTAGATCCGTGGGCGGCAAGCAAATGACTAAAGCAAAGATACATTTATGCCCAAACACAATGTACAGTAATGTCTTGTCTATCACGAATGGATTTGTGAACAATATAAAAGATCTGGGAAACATGAAAGCCTTCAGATGCTATGTTGCAATGGACTAATGTGTTCCAAATGGGTGCAAATATAATTAGGGCCAATATGCTAAGCAATTAACTAAGAGTTTGGTTGTTCTATCAGATGCGTCCATCATTAAATTTAATAGTAATCACGCACGCGCACATGCACATGTACCCCATTAAGGATGCATATGTATTATCCATAAATATGGGCAGGCTCAAATTCTGCCTTCAACAAGCACAAGTTTAAGCTAGTTGGCTGCTGTGGCAAGTTGCAAAAGGATTATTTGTAAACCAACCGGGCAACTGCCCCTGATCCAATTTTCCATTGAATGGAAGGGCATTACCTACCGGTCTTAGAATACACAACAGTGAAGAATACACATGTAATTGCGTAGAAGTAGCACATGTGTTTGCAACTCTCTGAAGGTCTGGCCTATCACCCTCTCAATTTCACACGGATCAAATAAGATACTCCCTCCGTCCGGAAATACTTGTCATCAAAATGAATAAAAAGGGATGTATCTAGAACATCTACAATATATGAATAAATATATTGCAAGATTGGCATCCTTCAGATTGCTGCTTAAAAAGATGGTTGAGTTTTTGTACTATTGGCAAAAGGTGAAACTAAGCAGAGAATCATATACAAGGATACATAATCCTATTGACTCTACAATACTGGGACAATGAAATGGTGAAAGAAACTCATGATCAACAGCCTACATAGAACCCCATACCTTTATCCTATATCCAACACCCAAAGTAGGATTATACTACATGATAGCTCGTTCGTCGTTGCAAGGAACAATCTTGTAGCAAACATTAACATGAGCTGAACAGTTTTGAAGTTAATTGTATAGTAGGTATAATATAAAAGGGATCAAAGCTATAATTCAAGTGACAACCATGGTAACCAGAAGAGACCTTTTCAGGCATTGGATGTCCTCAAGAAGGTCCTTGAAGTTCTTCTCAAGCAGCTTCTACAGGGTCTGCAGTTGCCTCAATCTGTAAAGGTCCTTAATCAAAAGGAAACTGTACTGGTCCTATATATGGCAATGTGAAAAGCATACCGGTTAGAAATCATTATTTTATTGAATCTCACATATGTCTTTTCCTTTCTAGCTCTTTTCTCCTTGTCCTGCTCCCTGAGCTCTTCTTTAGCACAAGGTAATTTCAGTAGTTGTACAGAAATTCCATGACAAAGGAATGCTCAGTATAAGGAACCCATTTTTGGGATCCACACCATGCAAATTCGAATCTACTCCGGCCATATAAATTACAATCCACGTCAAATAAATTATCAACAAATTAAAAGGATTGTAACCTTCAGCCTCCCCTGCACATCCAAGCTACAGGACCTTCCATGGTTCCACCAAATTGCACTTTGTTACTACTGAAAGTCTGGAACCCAATTCTCCTGAAACTATTTTTTTCCTCCTATAGTGTAACAAGATGTCACCAAATACACACACATGAGCTTGGAATCACCAGCTGCCACATGGATCCAATCCAGGGTGTTCGTGGTGAGAAGAGAGGGTGGATGGACTAACCCTTACTACAATGTGGAGGAAACTTAACAAAATGCATTTCCTTCTTCTTATATTATATTTCAGATTATATATTAACTCCATGACGTAGAAATTCCCGTGCTACAGGAAGCATTCCAAGGACCTCATCATCTGCACCAAGTGAACCTCTTATGAATCAGCATAATACATGAAGCTCATACCGGCTGCTCTGGAACATAGTCTGTCATCTATGAATAGAAGGTCATAATTGTATAAGGGGAGGCTGCTCCAGAAAGTACTACATATAGGTTGTTGATCAGTTAAAATAATTAAACATAAAAAAGGCTGATATTTGAGTAATTGTGGTCCAAGCAGAAAACTTTTATTGTTTATGAATTCTCAAAAAATCCTATTGTACAGTGAATCATGCATGAATAAAATCCCCTGAGCAGAACCCAAATGACTATAGAACCCAAATGCATGAACAAAAACCGCTATACAGTTCAGCAATAGGAAATTAAAGAAACTGAATCATGTAGGAAAGTTGCATATTCTTTGTATCTGATGCTTAGCTTGGTCTGATGCTTGCAGTTTTAGGTATTCGAGATGGATAATTTGGTGGCCAAATCTGTCAAGATATGGATGGGAAGAAAGATTTACTACTTGCAATTAAACATTCCTCTGAAGGAGAGGGAGGGTCCTCATTCCTCAAGCCGTGTGTGCAACGTTTTCCTCGCCAGAGAAGATGTGAAGAAGGTGGTGTCAACCAGAGCGCCCATGGCGGGTCTCCGGGAAATTCGTACAGGCACCTATAGGCTGTATAGACAGGTTTATGCCAACAGTAGCATTCACATGATTTCGCTGATGAAAGTAATCTAAGTAATCAGTCTGTCCAAATATATTTAGGATATATTGCGCATCTGTTACCACCTAGTTGCTCAATTCCTTTGGTTGAAAGTGTAAAAGAAACTTACTTGCATTAGGCCGCCGGGAAGCAGAAGAGGACGGCTCCGGCGGCGGCGACCCACGGCGATGGGAGGCAGTGAAGGGCCGGCGGGGCGGGGCAACGGGCGCGCCTGCGGGAAGCGGCAAGGCCCGGCGGGGCGGTTCCCGGGGCGACA